AATGCGCATATGAGCATATCCACATGGAATTTGCGCACTACAAATGCTGTATTATTATTATTATTATTATTATTATTAACAGTTGCTATGTTAAGAGTTACTTCGCTTGATTTATCAACGCAACTTGATCTGCGACGGCGAAGGTACTTACACTGCATTCAATTTTACTTTAAATGGCTGGTAACGACAGTTTCAACATACGCAAACTACAGGTGCCAACAGGCACTTTTCTTCTCGAAAGTGCACGCCATTACAAGAGGCTATACTCCTAAGAAGAGGGTTTAATTAGAGAATCCTTTCTCTTGGAGGAGAAAATAATAATGTAGATGAACTTCACAATAGTTTTGTTTGGTACTTCCTCAGAAAAAAAATCCAATGAGTGCATTTGTTTCATTAATTTAAGATCATGACTCAATAAAAAGCTGAGAATTAAATGAAAATAGAAAATCATATAGCCCCCTTCGTCATGCTCGGGATTGTCTGCCATCCAACACCGGTCAGAGCCTGACGCAAGCCACTTCAGCGGGTTTGACACACGAACTTAAACTGAGACAATAAGCCCATCTCGACCTAAGAGACTGGGGTTGCCTTTTCCCGTTAGAGTTCAATCGCTGACAGAAATCTTAAGGAGCAAATCGCGAAGGAGCATGTCGCCAATTGTTATTTTTTCTATGAAAATAGAAGCATAAAACAGCTTCAATGTTTGGACCATTCATGTCACTTTTAAGTTACTTATAACCTCGCAGAATAAAAAATCTAATGTGTAATAATGTGTATAATGTGTCGTGATTTTAACAAGTAGTCTGCGCGTGACGTCACATCAGCTTCTGTTTCCTTTGTGAGGGTAAGTCACGAAAGTAATCACTCAGAGTTTATTATCATATTCAGTCAATATATTTCTTAATATATTGTATTCAGACAGCACAACACTGTTTCCCTAACATATCAATTTGAATGAACAATAATATTTGCGCAATAATAAACGTATCCGGTGATTGGCCTCCAGTGTCATCTCCAATTCAGATTTCCATGGAAACGATTTTAGTAAGTTAAATCTTCGTCAAGGTCTAATTTGATGCATGATTCCTCCGACAGCCGCGGTGAAATATACCTACTATTAGCCTGCTTGTAACTTGCTAAACCAGCCGCGTAACATGGAAGAGCCACCCCAAGCCTTAGATGCAATGAGCGACTCCAAGGTAAGATAACAAAGCTTGTTAGAAATCCTTCGAGACGAACGAAGTACTTAAATAATTGTCTCGCAATAAATTTTGACCAGAAGCTTTTGACTTTTAATAAGTCTCTTGGGATAATTTAAAGCCCGCTTTGTGGCTTTTTGACTTAGCTTTATAGTGAAACCTTAATTTTCGTTTTATTCTTCACAAAGGAAAATAATTACAGCGCTGCAGAACACGGAGAAGCTGTGGAAGGTGAAACCGCTGTTGTTGAGGAAGACGAGGGTTTTCATACGGTCACTGCTGGTAATTGATCTGAGTAAACGTAAATTCTGTTTAATATTAGAGTAAAAATTAGCATTCTGAACATAGGAAGTGTGAGGCAATTGGATTTTGTGCGAGAATCGGTATACATTATGAGGCTTTTAGGTACAACAATATTATGCTTGACGGATCAGAAATTTGTAGATATAAAGTGTAAAGTTCGAGGAAAGTGACTTAAGTTGATAGTCGCCAATTTTGCATAACTTTGAAGCAACGAGTTGCGTTTGTCAAATAAGGAAACAATGATCCGGGCTACTTTCTCGATAAAGAATTCAGACCAATACATGATACGAATCCACGCGCGTGATCAAATGGTAATTTGTAACATCACGAATTGATCATAATTTGTCGTATTCGAGCTTAAAAAATCGTGCGTATCATTTCCCACAAATGAGAAAAACAACAAGCTAATTAAAATTGGTGTAATGCCAGGGAATGCCGTCAGTCGGTGGAGTTTTGTATTCTAGTTAACATGAAATAAACACTTTTTCCCCAGATGAAGATGAAAGTAATGTTGCAGAGAAAACTACGAAACAAGACAAGCCGCAAACGAATATGAAAACCAAGCAAGGTTCTAAACCTCCAAGCTCCAGAGCAGCAACTCACATGGATAAAAAGACACAACAGATGTTAGCAGAGTTTTACAGGCTGAAGAATCAGATGAGAGAATTTCAACAATCGATACAGCGTCCTCCTGTGTAAGTGAACCACAGGCGTCCCAACGCTAACGAAGTGATAAGTTTAGACAAGCTTGTAATCTGTTCATTCGATTTATTCTCAGCTGTTCTTGGCCGTGGTTGGTAGTCCCTTCACACCCTAACATCAGTATGTATATTCTCCATACCTGGAGCGGATCCAAGGGTTGTTCCGGGTGGTTGGGTCGAGCCTGCTAAATTTTCCCTCAGAACGTTGGAAATCATGTTTCCGAAGACCTAATTTTCAAAAGCTTGGACCCCACAGGAGGGGGACAATTCTCCGAATCCCCCTGGACTAAATCCTGGATCCTCCCCAGCATACTCTTCTCTATACATTTAGTGAGGTGCTGAGAAGAATTTGTCTAGCAATCAAGAGCTTCTTTTGATGATCTTTGCATTTATTCTCCTGACCTTAAATTTTGTAATTCAGGGTTGTTATTGTAAGGAGAAGTTAGATGCTTGTCACTGTAGGGGTCAAAAGGTTATATTATCTAACTGGCCTTTCTCTAGGCAGTGAGGATTTTCCAACCCTAATTAAGAATATTTATGTAAAGGGGTGTAGAGAAAAGAGCCTTAGGTGAAATCTGGTGTACTAAAGTCTCTTTTCATGTTTTCACATTTTGCCTCATGAAACATAGAGAGAAGTTGATGTAGCATAAAGTCACTTGGAGCTTTCTTTCATGTGCCTCTTCATTTGAAAACTGAAAACACTATAAATTTTAAATTTTAGAACAGTCATTAAAATAAAGAAATGATAAGTAAATATATTAATAAAAAAATGAAGGGTGATCTTTATTCAGAAGATTATTATTATTGTTTCTCTTTATACCCACAGGAATATGTATATATATATATCTATATATGTATATGTGTTGAGTAGAAGAATACAACGACTACATTTTTATCCCAAAACATAGTTGTTGTATTTTTCTACTCAACGTATATTGCACTCTGCTTTTATGTATTGAGCACTGTCATATGGAAAAATTGAAACACAGACTTGATATATACATATATATACATTAGTTGAAGAATCAAAGAGGACGCATCGATTCTCTGTTACTCTGAGTTTCGCGCT